ACCATTTCATTCCAACTCAGCTTTTCATAGTATACGTACCATGGCTTTCAGCACTCACACGTCTAACGAGTTGAGCCGGTTAACCGATATCGGCAATGACCGCGAGGCTGAAAGCTTTAGCAAAGGATTCTGACTTGTTGGAAGTAACGATTTTATGTAAGAAAGACGTCGAAGACCTGTTCACTGTGGCATCTCACATCATTGGAGAAGTTCTTTCTCGGTTTGAGACGAACCGGATCGCTATTGATGTAGCCTGCAGCTACTCACATTTCATAGTCCATAGTGCTAACACAAGGTTGTTCAGGCCGACCTCGAATTGAACGCTTATCATGCGGCCTCGTTTTACCGCGAGTTTTGAGATGGTCCCACGAGTGAATCTCTAGGGTCGAGGAAAAGGAAAAGCTCACTTCATGTATGTAACATGAGTACTGGTACACAGTGCCATTCCAAAACCGATCTCAATTTGTAACCTTTTCTACTTTTCAAGAGTGATGCTGAAGACACTGGTATTGAGCCAGAGGAGAATTCCGAACTTGCAGTGGGTGTGGAACCACCATCCATGACGCGGAAAATTTGATCGTGTCTCAAACCTCTTCCGACTTTAATAAATCTAGGACCTCTGATGGAATCGGATCACAGCTGTCCAGCTTCTCCAAACCAACTTTCCCAGCTCACGAATCCATCCGATTCCACAGTGGATTCACATTTTAGAGTAGGACGAAACTGACCCCAAACTACTCGAGCAGCATTTCCTGATTCAAGGAAGTCAGCTGCTGAAACTATTCCGTTTCTGCCCATCTTGTGGTGCCAAGATCTCAGAGTCTTTACGATGTGTTAGATTACGAGCAGTAGGAACGGCCCCTATTGTGGACTACATATGCACAATATGCACCCCCTTCGAGAAACGCTTTGAAGGACAAGAGAGAGCGGTTGCTCATACGAAGGAAAAATCCTTCAAAGGGAATGTGCAGGTCGCCGTGGCCGCAATAACTACAGGGACACGATTCGTGGTAAGTAGGCAAATTTTACTATACTATTTGTTATCCATAAAATTCAAAGTTTACAGGAGTTAAAACGCTGGGCCGAAGAAGCTAATTTAGCTTTTTTTGGCAAGACTCTTTTTGACAACGTTTTTTCGCTGACGGCTCCATCTATCGAGCGGGTGTACTTGGTGCACCAACAGCGCATCCTGTCAATCATTAGAGAGGAGTACAGGGTACATCCATGGCGTTTTACAGTAGAATGATCAATGTGATCACTAGATTTTGAATTATAGAGAATCGGTTCCGGATTGAACATTGCCGCGGACGGCTCGTATGATAGCAGGGTTGTAGTGCTGAAATTGGGAAAGTGGTCGTTACTGACCAGCTCACAAAGCTTATAATGCACACGGAGACTTTAGATCGGTCTCAGTGCGGTCAGTTGTTCTGCTTTCTGATATACATCCCATCTATTTGGTGTTTCTGCAGACAATCATAGCCCCTTGATGGAAGTAGAAGGATTGAGGAGGGCTTTGCATTGGTTAATTATGCAAGGACTGGTAATTTCGTCTCTAACGACCGATAGGAGCCGTAGCTTTGGTGGAGTGTTGGCAGAAATGGAGCAAGTTCATAGAACCAATATTGAGCATTACTTCGACGGGTATTCGCATGATTGTGGCATTCCTCTTTATAGGAGTCCCGTCGCTCCGCATGCGACGCCATCGCTGGATGGATTGAGAAGACTAAAAGGCATTTGTGGAAATGTATTGAGCAGGGCCCTTCCAGTGTGGACGTGAAGCACCGGTTTAATCGTTGCCTGAAGCATGTTAGAGACGTGCATCAGTGGGAGGAGGTCATCAACTCCACTTTACAACCTACCTACGGATCCTCGAGGCGGCGAAGTTTTGCATTTTCTATTGGCACTTCCAGAATGGCTTCCAAATTGCACTAATGTCAAAATAGATGTCTTATTCAAGGCCAGAGCCATTAATAACCACAATGAGGTAAGTTTTCACCGAAAGCAGCAAAAAAGTTGTAACGTCGAAATGGCGCCAGCGGCGGCTCCGAAAAACAATGCCATATTCGTGACCAGAGCACTGATTTACCTTTATACCCGAAGTTTTGAGCAAAATCGCATCTCTGACCAAACTTCGAAAATTTGCACCAAACATAAGTAACTCTTCACGTATTCCCAGTCGCTTGAAGGCGAGCTTCCACGCGAAGAACTAGCAGAAAACTGCTGCATTGTGGGTGGCGTCTCCCTTCCCCCCACCCCTCCTCCAACCAACATCAGCCTGGGTGTCTGCTATTGTCTGTACGGTAGGAACATTTCATTTCTTGAGGGATCTAGAAGAGGTTATTTCCAAGAAGTTCGTCGTCGAGCTTGACGTGCTACACAGTTTATGTACGAGTGCTCATGGAGCAATTTTTCGAAGTTGGGTCAAATTCTTGATTTTCTTGGAAACTTCGAATACAAGGGTTATCAGGTGTCCTGATTACGAATATGACATTCGTTTTTAGCTCCGACATCATTTCGGACCCCTATGACGCTGTTCGACGGCACGTTGGTGCCGTTTTTGCGTCACAACTTTCTCTCACCAGTTTTCGGTATACGCCCACTTGTAAGGGTTTTTGTAAGCCTAATTATAATATGACATCAATTCCTGGTGTTGACGTATTTGGTGCCAATTTTGTGGCGTCAAATCACAATGCAAAAATTTTGTCACCGCGGGGAATCGAACCAAGGACCACTTTCCCACTCCTTTTTTGGCATTCAGAGGGCCATTTAGCGGAAATGGACTACAGTTCTGTACTCCATGCACATCCCTCTACATCATGCAAAAAACCGTTTTGAGAAAGCGCGGGTCCACCTGAAAGACCTTCCCTTGTGAAGTCGCAGCAATATGGCAAAATGGCGAAAGCATCACATATGAACTTTAACTTCTACATTTTTCATGTGCTCTACAGTATTTGTAGCATTGTGATATAAACGAGCAGCTTAGGAACGGAAGAGTCGCTAATGTTGTTATCGATGCGCGATGAAGAAGCATCTTCAGTCGCGTTGTGTCAATATTGATGTCGTCGTCAATATCGCGATCTTTCCGACCTCTAGCCTCTACAATTTTCAGAAGATGGCCCATGACCATGGAAGCGTTGAATCTGCTGAGTGTTTCTATTGCAGTGACATCGCCGCCAGAAATGAAATTCACCCGCTAAACCTTCCCAGCATCCGGACCACAGTATAGTTCATATCTCGAAGTCTGATTGGACGTGTCAACGGAAATGACGTGGCAGCCACCGCACTTGATAGAAGTTGAAGTGCTTCCAACATACTTTGCTGGATATCAGCAAAGCAGGCCAGGAAGCAGCTTATCCGCGCAACTTCCATCAAGTGCGGTGGCTGCCACGTCATTTCCGGTGACAGGCATAATTAGGCTCTGAAATATGGATTGTAATTGGTCACTCTAATGCTACAATAAGTGGTCCAAGAGGCGTGTTAGTTATCCAACGCTCATTCGGCCGCAAAAAAATGTTACTTTTCGAGAATGATAGTATTGACGAGCTACTCAAATTGTTGCTTCATCACCAGCACTATAGAAACCTTTCGTTGTTCACATCAATCAAAAGCAATGAAAGCATGCATGTTGCTACATGAGCTCAGCTGTGCCCATTCCACTAAAGCCAACTTTGGTTGGATTCCGACCGGGAAACGAGTACGTCGGTTAATTTGCCATTCTGGCTATTTGCAGTGAGGTGTCTACCACCGCATTCGTCACGAGACGGTGAGCTCAGAATTGCTTTCCACATCTGCTAACCGATTGAACCATATTATAGAGCGAATATGCACAGTGGTAGTGGTAAGAGCACATAAACAGTAGGTCGTTGGATCGACTACTTGTTGAGGGTCTCATCCAGTAAGGGGGGGGGGCATTGTGATGCAACGTCAAGTGGTTCCAGGAGATGTTCTTTAACGTTGAGGCTGGGCGCATCTCAACGGAAACTTCATCGCTGTACTTTATTACTAACTGTATCGTATTCATTCATTCGTCAAAGTGAAATTACCTAATCGCAATCTGATGGGAGTGCTGGTTAAGTCATTCTTTTACATATACTTGATACTGTTTCCATTTGCCTGCGGATTGATTACTTCGAAATGTACTGTGCTGCGATGAGTTCCTTTCACGTTCATGGAAGGGCTGGTATTCCCTTCCATTTCTGATGGATTACTCTAGTGTTATGTGCTGGGTGTGTTATGAGTATTTTTTCTTTTAAAGGCAAAGGTCGGGATTAGTTGACCAAACCAACCCTTTCGGTCATGCCTGTACTTGGTTACGCACCCGTAGAGATGTTCCCACACTCAAAATCCAAACGGCGCAGTAATAAGGCCCCAGGGCATGTACTATGCGCTATCGCCGCCTGGCCCCGCTACGACCGCCCACCTCGGGATGTGGTGCATGGCTGGCATAACGTGTGAAATCAGCTAGGTTGATTGCCGTATCAACCGATAGAACGACTGATATCTTCAGAAAACTTG